CAAAGTAAGAAGGTTATGGATGTTGAAGGTCAAACCTCTCTGTCCCAAAACAACATTGCATGAGTTTCTCAGAGTAATATCCCTAGCCCAATATCTTCAAGTGCTTCATCATGAGGGCAAAAGTGGGGATGTTCACTGAGTGCCATTTCAGCATCATTTACAACTTGTTCATGCAGTATACATCGGCGTCTGGACAACATCCAAATCTAGCATGACTGGCAATTAACATTCGCACCAGACAAGTTACCACCTCCAACAAGAGAGAATTGAACCATCTCCCCTGATATTCACCAGCAGTATTAACACTGATTACCTCCACTACGTGTATCCATTGACAAGAAGCTGGACTCGACTAGCCACCCACACACTGTTGCTGCAAGAGCAGATCAGAGGCTGGAAATTGTACTGCAGGTAATTCACCTCTTGGCCACCGTCTACAAGGCATAAGTCAGAAGTGTGATGAAATATTCTCCAATTGTCAACGTGAGTGCAGCTCCAAATGTACTCAAAGTCAACAGGACAAAGTAGCTTTGATCAAAATTACGATCACAATCCCTCTCACTCTCCAACACCAACACACAGCGGCAGCAGTATGTAGAATATATCAATGCACTGCAGCAACTCACCATGGCTCCTTCCACAACACCTTCCCAACTCTCAACTACTGCCACGTAGAAGAATGAAGAGTGTTGGGGGAGCACCACCATCTGCAAGTTTCCCCTCAAAACCATACATCTTGACATGGAGGTATATTGCCATTCCTTCGCTGTCACTGGATTAAAATCCTGGAACTTCCTTCCTGACAGTACTATAGCTGTACGTGACCTGCATTAGATGAACTACTGTGGTATAAGAACATAGATTACTTCTCCCTTCTCAAGGATAATTAGGGATAGGCAATATATGGTGGCCTTGCAACATGCCATGAAACAAACGAACATTGGAACAATCAAGTTTCTACCCCATCATGTTTTTAAAATCTGTGAAACTTTTGGATTTATAGCACTTCACTTTGCCTCTGGCAGTGTGATCTGTGCCATTTGGATGTAAATTGTAATTTGTTCTGGTACTGAAAGCTGCAATCAGCTTGTGCAGGAGTCAAAGCAAATTATGAAAAAAGCTACAGTCAGCAAATTGCGCATGACCCGCTCCATTAATGCGACTTCCTTCTGGGCTGTGGTAACTTTGGTGCATGATGTCCTTCAAGAGAAGTCCTGATCTGTTCTCATTTCAAAAGATCCAGTCATTAAACAAAAGCTTTGCTGTAGATGATTTTTGGGCTTATACATTTGATATTCAGTTAAATGATCTATTGTGGGAGGGATTTATCTAAACAGATTGGAAAACAACCACCTGAGATGAATGATTAGGCTGGTAACTAGGTGTTAACATCATTGTAATAAATTAGTTTGAGATGGGAACTAAGTGCAATAAATAATTCTGGGGATGTGATGTTTGGGGAAGCAGCTTCTGATCATACTGATGAAGAAATGGTACTGAGTCACAAGATGAAAAGAATTTGCAGAACACATGATTTGCAGGAAGTATATTCCTAAGGCTGGCTTCATGGCTGTTAGATTATACTAAGTGTAACATTGGCAGTCTGGGAGTCAGAAAATAATTTCTGAAATGCATTTGAAAACCAAGATTCAGAAACAAGTGGTTTATGTAGAGCTTACTAAGGGACTCCGATAATTGTTGAATGTGACCTGTACGAAGGGACTTGCCAGCATGAAAATTACAGCAGAGCATTAGCTCCTGCCCACAGTGAGAAGAGGCGAGATAAATTACTTTGTTACATGTGAGGGAGATGATGTTGGGGACAACCATGGCGATGACATTTTTTATTTCAATGATAGTCTGGGAGTACATGAAAGTATTCTGTTTGACTAAATTATTCGACCTGAAAGCCCAGCTTCCTGCTGGTTTACTGAGTGTTATGCCATCCATTTGATGAACCAGCTAAGAGGCCTAGGCTTTCACTGATGGAATATGCTTGAAAGACCTCTTGATTTTCTTTTTTCTTGCTGAAGCTTTTTAGGCACATATGATTAAAATTACAATCTCTGGTTTTTAAAATGATAAGTGCAGCATTTGGATAACCTGCATGATTGTCCCTGCGTTTCTTTAATTGCTGAGAGTACTGTGCTGATCTGTGATTGCCCCCTTCAGTTAGAAATTCAGTGTATAAATATCTTTCAGCCAACAGATCATTGTGCTCAGATCATGGTGATTAGAACTGCCGAGTGACCACTGAAGTGGTGTGCTGTGTGAGAGAACTCTGATATCACTTTGCAGCTTCTTGGCTGCAGGATTTTCTACTCATTCACTGAAACCATCAGTGTGATGTCCTGATTGTCTAATGTAAATATTAATTCATCATGCTACAACCCACTTTCTGCACAGAGAATGTGAGAGACATACTAAGCGTGTGTTGATTCATTACAATTTACAAGAAACTTGATAGCATAACCTTTTCAGATACGTTGTATGAGTAATGTGAGACATGTCTTGGGTATATAGCATGCTTCAGTGTAACAGATAACTTTGAACCTACAGCTCTCAAAGCTTCCCAGTAATAATCTCCTGAGAGTCAGTTGGTGAGGAAGGAGATCCCAAAGCCTTAACTCAGTTTGTGTTTATTCATAAAATAAAAGATTTATCTTAAAAGAAATGTAAATCAATCTGTCTAGCCATAGAACCATAGAAAAGTTGCAACACAAAAAGAGGCCATTCTGTGCATCATATCTATGAACATGAAGAAACTCAAGATCCATTCTAATCTTTCTTTCCAACACCTGGTTTGTAACTTGCAGGTTGTAGTACTTTTGGTGCAAATCCAGGTTCCTTTTAAATGCCCCCCTAGAAGGGGGAAAAAAAGCTCTAGCTTATCCAATCTTTCTTCATAACTGCAATTTTTGAGCCTGTACAATGTTCTTTAAATCTCCTGTACAATCTCTTTAGGGCAATTGTGCCTTTTTCTTTAATAATGTGACCAGAACTGATTGCAAGAATCAAGCCGTGGCCTAACTAGTATCTTTTACAGTTCCAACATTGCAACTGTTTCTACACTCCATACCTCACCAAATGAAGAAAAGCCTTCCAAATATCTTCTTTACTATTTTATCTATCTGTCCTGCTACCTTCAGGCACCTCTGGATGTGCCTTCCATTGTCTCTCCCTTCCTCTCCCCCTCTGATTACCCTCCTGTTGATTCCCTTGCTTTGTTTCCCTCCTCAAATGTACAACCTCTCATTTAAATTTGCTGCTTCGCTGCGTACTCAACCGTACTGTTGAAATCATTCTGCAGTCAATCGCTATCCTGTTCAGTATCAGCTAAATGGCCAATTTATGTGTTAACCTTAAATTTCCGAAACGTGTTTCCCACATTTAAATCTAAATCATTAATATATACCATGAACAGCAAGGGATCCACCATTTGCACCAATACTATAAATTTATTGATTCAGTTTCTGAAATGGCTAATTGCTTTTCTTTCATACAACTCTCCAGAATAAAATAGGTTATTTTGAGTTCATTTAAGCTGATCTATTTATTAGGAACAAAACTTATTCTTAAAGCAAGTGGCAAACACTACTCACCACCTAAGCTATACAAAATTCCACATACATGCACACAGACTCTCGCCACAAAAAATCAAATCTCTGTGAAGTTGATTCTTAAAAAGGCAAAGGAGCAACAACAATCCATGTGGACTAAGGATCTTGAAACAAAGGATACAATGAGATAACTTCTAATGTCCACTGGATTTCCTGCAAACATGACCAAATTGCTGACAGCTGTAGATTGATAGTTAATGTCCATTTCTGAAGGCGGCCAACTTGGATTTGAGTCTTTGGGATTTGGTCATGGTCCACTACTTCTAGTTCTACCAGTCGTGGTATGAAACTCTATCAGGTTTCTAGCAACTTTGACTTCAGAAAATAATCTCAGAATGGTGTCCTTCAGCTTCTGGGGTGTCTTTTCTTTTTATGTAAATGACTGGGTCTATAAATAAAAATCATGTTCAGAAGGATTTGCCAGGCAGCCATTAGACTGGAGGTACCTTAATTCTTTCAGAAGCAGGTTTTCCAGCAATTTAATAATAAACCTTATCTATCAAAGTTTTGCTTGCCTTTTCTCTAAAGTCACATGATTTTCAGTAACCTGCCAGTAAGCCACCGCACACTGTAAACTGTTGGCTTCATTTCCAAGAAATCATATGATTAATAACCTTTTTCAACCCAGAGACTGTCCAGATAGTTCAAAATCTTCCTGTTTTCCACGCGTCTGTTGAGCATTTCTAACAGAATTGACTGATATTTTTGTGCTTGGACTACCAGAGTGGGTTTATAACCCACAACAGAGGTGATTGTCCACTGAGCAGTGTCTGACACTTAATCGGCCCTTTAGTCTTGCAAGGAGAGTGACTGCAGTAATGGGTGTGTCCAGGGGAGAGAGACAGATCTCCCAGTTAAACATGAACCAGTTAGTCTAATGACAAACTCTTAAGAATCCATGATGCAAAATAAAATACTGAACATTTAAAACTACATGCAATTCACTAATAGAGACTGCACGTATTTATTAAAGGAAAGTCAGATGAATGTGAACTATCCAATATAAATGGATAAATGTTTTGAGCAATGTCCCGCTTCAAGAATAAAATCATGCACTAAATTATGTCAGGAAGTGCAGCATCATAATTGAAATGAAACCGTGGGATAAATGGATGTTACATCTTATTAGGGAAAACAGCCTACTCTGTGTCATCATCCAATGATCATTTGTTAGGTCACTGGCTTATATCGGGCTAGAGTGAGGACATCTGGCTGATGTCCTAAAAGCTGATGGGGTAGTGATGAACAAAAATTGTGCAGAGAAATAAATTGATAACAAAAATCTAGAGAGAGATTGTGTGCATGTGTCTTACTGTTGATTGTGGGAACATTTAATTTCAACTGGATATTAACCCTGTGACTCTCTCTCTCTTTCACTAGAGGTTGCAGAACTTGAAGCAAATCTTCCCAGTAAGTAAAACATTTATTTCTTATAATATTTACCTTTTTTAAAGTTAAGTTAAGACATTTGCGTTGTGTGAACAGAATGAAAGCAATATCATAGTGAGTGCCTTAACAGCTACTTTGCTTTAGAAAATGTTTCCGTGTTTGAATGTTAGGGCTGTTTTGTTTTTTTTTGTTGATGATTAGTTTTGGAGCTAGATGTCCGTGAGTGTAAATTTGGAGCTGGATTCAGCATAGGCTGATTTTCCTGATAGTGTGCTTTGGGGATAGATTAGAGTCTGGGTTTGCCAGGAGGCCAGATGAGGCACTGGGTTTGCCAGAGTGAAGGGGAGCCAGTTCAGGCACTAGGGTTCCCAGGCCAGATGCTAGGTTTGCCGGCAGGTCTGGGTAGGGAGGGAATTTAAGTGATGGAGTTTACTGTCCACTAGCCAAAGAGAACACATCCAGACAGATGTTGGCTACCCTGCAGACAATTTTAATGTTCTGAGGATTTCTGTTCCAGGTGGAGATTCCATCACTGACAACTGGGAGATGTGCTCACTGTTTGGACTACAGGTAGTGCCCAGGGTTCATGTCCCAGAACCCAGGGTGGAGATTTGTGTGGAACTTCTCATGTGGGGTTGGGAGGGGAGGCCCAGGGTTGGTTGATTGATCTTGTGTTGGCAAAGCCAAATGAAGAGGGTGCATCCAAGGAGACCTGGGGCAAACTTTGCATGAGGGGAGGGATTGGGGGCGCACCCAATTTCTGAAAGCGGCCAGTAAAGGAGACCCTTTTTACCACTTTTTGTCCAAGCTTTTGGGCAAGGTAATCCATCAGGCTTTCCTGTGCCAAACATTCACCATCCTTTACCCATCTCGGAACTCCTCTTGGTGGTTGGAAAAATAAAAGCCAGGTGGAGAACTGCCAAGGGCCCAATAATTTTCTGCAAGAGCCTCAATATGGAGTGAAGGCAGGTGGGTTGTCCATTCCCTGTAAAATTGTGGTAAGTTGGCATTGTGCATAAAGGCCACCTGAGGACTTTTACAATGCCCCTACCAGCTTGGAAACTTGCAGGGCCTTAAAGTTCTGCACAAGGTGATAGTTAGCAAAGGCAAATGAGTGTGTTATTTGAAGAGAGGATTGATAATGGCAGCTTTGATAACAAGGGCTGTACCCGAAGTGAGTCATTTTCAGTGTCTGTTAGCATGATATTAAGAGAGGGAAGTGACATGTCAGTAGGTTAGTAGGAATGGAGTCAAGGAGTGGGAAATGAATCTTATAGATCAACTGAAAAAGGACATAGGGAGAATGGGCATTAGAAAGGAACTAGAGAATTATGTAGGTTCAAGTTAGTGCTGGGGGAGTGTATCCTTTTGAAAGGTTCAGCTAGGTAAACAAGGTGCTTGGAGTACAAGTACCTGTTGAGTTCTCAATCGTTGTGGTAATGATGTTAAGTTCTTCACACTTATAATTGAAGATGAGGGTGGGAAGGGCAAGAGGGGAGATGGTTGGTGGAGAAAAGAAGCTTTTTTTGCTCTTTCCAGGGTGATCCCCATAGTGAAAGACCTGATGATGCTTTATGTGATGTGTGTCTAAACCATTATGCTGCAGAGACAGCCAAGTCTGTGTCCCTTGATTTTGACGGAACGGAGATGGGTCCATACTGGTGGAAATATCCCCAGTTGGAGGGAGGTTGGATTTTATGGAGGACAAAGGCATCACTGGATCAAGATGGGGGAAGCACATTCAGAGCTGCAGAGTATGATTATAAATGCCAAAGGCTACATGTCTGGAAGCTTGAAAGTGCAACTGTAATTGACGTGGAGAAAACTTTTTTCTGAAATGGAGACAGAACAAACTATGAGGTTGTAAAGGAGATAAAGGACTGTTAGTCAGGAAAGCTGTAAGGAAATGTTCAGATTGCGTCATTTGTGACTGACCCCATGGAACAAGTGAGTGCTGGGGAGATTGAATATGTGTAGGAGTTTCATGAAGCAAAATATATTTTACTGGTTATCTGCTTTAACCTGCTATACTCTGGTACATATTTGTTATATTTACATACTATAAATTCCATGTCTGCATTTTTCTGGTGGAATATTTTGATTCGACTAGTTTCTACTGTCTTATGCCATCTGGATTCATAGGTGTGACCATTGCTCAGGGCAATAAGTGAGGCTTGTCATGCATTCTTCAGAAGTACAAAGAAGTAATCTGAATTTGATTAAATGGAAATAGTCCATGCAATGTGCATGTGTTTGATCAAACAGAGCTTCAAAATTCCTGAGATCAGGATTACCCTGGATCACGAAATAACTTGCTGAGCCTCCCTGTCCCTTGGATTTCCTATGGTAATACAATGAAGTTTGCACTAATTTCCACATGAGTTTCCCTACATTACTAACATCTGATTACAGTTCAAGAATAATTAGCTGCTGTCATCCTTGGTGTCTTGCGTCATTTGAACAGATGGAAACAATCAGTTGCTTTCACAAACTACCCTCAACAAATATACTTTTAGACTTTGTGTCTTCATCCACCTGTACATGGAATTATTCGCAGTATCACACATTTAACCTCCTTGTAGCATCAAACAGTAGCCTTTACTTATAAAGTTTGACCAGGGAATAGGCCATGCTAAATTTAGTAATGGCAGTGAGTCAGAATTTGCTGTATGTTTCACTGAATGTGGACATTGCTGGCTAGCCCGGCAATTGCGAATCCCAAGAAATGGCAATATATTTCCAAATGCATGGAAGCAGATTCTTCGGCCATTAGGGCATTCAGCCCCTTGAATCTGCTCTGCCATTTGATCATGACTGATACGTTTCTCAACCCTATTCTCCCGCCTTCTTTCATAACCCTCAATCCCTTACTAACCAAGAACCTATCTATCTCTGTCTTAAAGACAGTGAATGACTTGGCTTCCACAGATTCACCACCCTCTGGCTGAGGAAATTCCTCCTCATCTCAGTTCTAAAGGATTGTCCCTCCACTCTGAGGCTGTGCCCTCAGGTCCTTGTCTCTCCTTGTAATGGAATCATCTTCTCCACATCCACTCTATCCAGGCCTCTCAGTGTTCTCCAAGTTTCAATGAAATTTCCCCCACCATCCTTCTAAACTCCTTCGAGTACAGACCACTGTTCTCAGCTGTTCCTCATATGACAAGCTCTTAATTCCCAGGATGGTTCTTGTGAACCTCCTCTGGACCCCCTTCAAGACCTGTACATCCTTCCTTAGGTATGGGCCCAAAACTGCTCATAATATTTCAAATGCCTGAACAAGTTTGCTTCAAGGGACATTTTTAATGCACATGGTGCAAGACTGTTTCACCCTTTTTGCAAGATCACTTTGTTTAAAGAGAAAACATGTGATGATGCAAAGTGGAGCAAGGAGCATGTCACTGCCAAGGCCTGCACCAACACAGACGGTGCCAAAAGCTGCCGCTTCTATTCATAGCAAAATCCAAGAAGCCATAGTGGCGTAGTATGAGGTTAACAAAACCACCTAGATGTCTTCAGTATTTTTGAGATGTAGATCAGGAAAATTTTGTGAATAAAATGTATCAATGAAGAAACCTGGCCTGCACGTCCTGACAGTGCTGGCCTCACCGTGCTGAAGTTGCTGCATTCCAACAGCATGGCCAAGCTCCAGCCAATGGATAATCGTGATTAGGAGCTTGAAAACTCACTGCCAATAGCAATGAGTCTCTCGGATTATCAAGGCCATCGATAAGAAGTGAAGAGTACAACAGAATTGTTTTTCTGGGCATAGTCATGATGAGGGTAAAGCGGTTGATGTGGTGTATATGGATTTCAATAAAGCGTTTGATAATGTTCCCCATGGTAGGCTGTTGCAGAAAATACGGAGGCGTGAGATTGAGGGTGATTTAGCGGTTTGGATCAGAAATTGGCTAGCTGTAAGAAGACAGAGGGTGGTGGTTGATGGGAAATGTTCATCCTGGAGTTCAGTTACTAGTGGTGTACCTCAAGGATCTGTTTTGGGGCCACTGCTATTTGTCATTTTTATAAATGACCTGGATGAGGGCATAGAAGGATGGGTTAGTAAATTTGCGGATGACACCAAAGTCGGTGGAGTTGTGGATAGTGCGGAAGGATGTTGCAGGTTACAGAGGGACATAGATAAGCGGCAGAGCTGGGCTGAGAGGTGGCAAATGGAGTTTAATGCGGAAAAGTGTGAGGTGATTCACTTTGGAAGGAGTAACAGGAATACAGAGTACTGGGCTAATGGTAAGATTCTTGGTAGTGTGGATGAGCAGAGAGATCTCGGTGTCCATGTGCCACCCAGGTTGATAGGGCTGTTGAGAAGGCGTACGGTGTGTTAGGTTTTATTCGTAGAGGGATTGAGTTTCGGAGCCATGAGGTCATGTTGCAGCTGTACGAAACTCTGGTGCGGCCGCACTTGGAGTATTGCGTACAGTTCTGGTCACTGCATTATAGGAAGGATGTGGAAGCATTGGAAAGGGTGCAGAGGAGATTTACCATGATGTTGCCTGGTATGGAGGAAAGGTCTTATGAGGAAAGGGTGAGGGACTTGAGGCTGTTTTCGTTAGAGAGAAAAAGGTTAAGAGGTGACTTAATAGAGACATACAAGATGATCAGAGGATTAGATAGGGTGGACAGTGGGAGCCTTTTTCCTCGGATGGTGGTGGCTAGCACGAGGGGACATAGCTTTAAATTGAGGGGTGATAGATATAGGACAGATGTCAGAGGTCAGTTCTTTACTCAGAGAGTAGTAAGGGCGTGGAATGCCCTGCCTGCAACAGTAGTAGACTCGCCAACTTTAAGGGCATTTAAATAGTCATTGGATAAACATATGGATGATAATGGAATAGTTTAGGTTAGATGGGCTTCAGATTGGTTTCACAGGTCGGCGCAACATCGAGGGCCGAAGGCCCTGTACTGCGATGTAATGTTCTATGTCCTATGAAGGCGTGAAAGATGGTGACAAAGGCCACAGTTGTCAACTCTTGCACCGATTGGGAGGCCAATCAACCTGATGATGA